TACTAGAGCAGAGATGCTGAAGATCCTCACCTTCTAGTTTCTGGCAAGGCACAAGAGCACCTTATAAAGACGGATCAATCCTGTGAGCCTTATTCTCGTTAGGCAGGAGCTAGTATCAGAGGTAGCTTCTCACGTGGAGAGGTTACTGTGTTTAACTTCAAAAGATGGCCATGAGGGCTGCCTAGTTAGCTCGGTCGGTTAGAGCGTGGTATTATAACATCAAGGTCAAGAGTTCAAATCCCCTTACCAGCCAGCTGCCACAAAAAAAAGAGTTGTTCCTGTCACTTGCTATGTGACTCTGGGTAGTCTTTAACTTCTCTTCGTTTATACCTCTTCTACACAATTGGAATAAGTAGTGTTCCCCTTGCCTATTTCATAAAGTTGTTACTAAGCTCACAGTTAGATAATTAGGTACTTATCACATGGCAAAGAATTGAAAGCCATGTTCTTCAATCTTCACAATAACACTTTATGATACAGAATAGTAACCTTGCTTTATAGATGAAGAAATTGAGGCTTAGAGAAGGGACATATGCAAAATCTTAGCAAGTGGTAGAGCTAGAACTCCAAACTAGTTCTGACTGCAAAACCCTCATGCAAAGTGGAAATGTAAGCTATTTGCATGTGACATTAAGTGGTGACCATCTGATGTATTAAAATATAGACTCATACTGAGTCACCACGGTGTAATGACTTCAGAAATTGGTCTATCACCAAGGCCCAGGATTTGATCCCTGTACTGACTAGCTGCACAAAAAACCAAACAAAACAAACAAGAAAGAAATTGGTCTATGAGGTCACATTTCTTGATCCCGTTGTGTTAGTCCGTTTGTTGCTTATAACAAAATACTCAAAACTGGGTGATTTACAAAAACAAAATTTATTGCTTACGTTTTTGGGAGTCTGGTAAATCCAAAGGCCAGGGACCACATCTGGTGAGGCCTCGGTGGTGGCTACAGTGAGGACAGGGTAACCTACTAGCTCACTGACCTGTTAAAGCCCTCCAAACCAGCCCCTACAACCATTTTCAATCCATTCACTACAGCACGGTCCTGTAATTTAATCACCTCTTCAAGGCCCCACCTTTCAACTACCATAATAGGATTCCCCACCCGCAACAGTTACAGTGGCGATTAAGTTTTGGGGGAACATTTAACCCAAGGCATCTGTCTTGCTGTTAACAGGAACACGTAAAATATCACCCGTGGGCTTCGAGCTCCTGCGTGTCAAACTGTCTTTACTCACCAGAGCATGTGACCCCTAACAATCGGGCTTCTGCTCCTCCAGTGTCACTAGTGAGAACTGCTCACGGTAAACACGTCAAAACCGGGCACATGTCTTTACCTGGCGCCTCCAAATGAAGTCCCCAAATGGCTTCGATACCCCCTCCCTTACATTTGTGAGTGTCGTTTTTAGGGACCGGCCTAGATCACGGCCCTCTCTTTGGCCCCTTGGTTTCGTCGGTCGAGCATGTGCCCTTCCTCGGCCCGTTACTCGGACCCGCGGGGCGCTTCTCCGGCCCGGGCAGGGCGGGCAACACAGAGCCCTTTGTTGAGGCCCCGCGTGACGCCTCGGGGGCCGCGCGCAGCTCACGCCCCAGCTCCGGCCACCAGCAGGAAGGAGGCGCGTGCCCGCGGCGCATGCGCGACCACGTGTGTCCAGCCCGGCGCGGGCTCCGCCCTCTGTCCGCCGGCGCGACC